TGTAACTGTAACTTTGTGATTCCTATTTGAACTGGTAAAAACTTTTATTAATTAGTATTATTTAACATATTGATGTATATTGTTACTGAGAAAATAAAGATTGTTGTAACTAGTATTACTTTTTTTTCGGCAGTAAGTGCCGTTATGGAGTAAAACGAACATGGTTCTATTCATTTAAAAAAGAAGTCATTAATATTATTTTAAAATCAAATTAGGTGTGAAATCGGTAAGTATATATAAATTAGACAAATATTAAAATGTATCACCCTTTTTAACACACACGCCACTGGTTAAGAGTTCCCTAGTAAACAAAGAACTATCTTCATCCTTGTTTAATAGCAGGATGTCTCAAGTTGTGGAAAATCAAAACAATTCCTTTGCAATGCATAGGGAATTACTTGTCTAGTCATTCTGAGGTCTTTGTTCAGAACCAACTTGACCACGTTTTTATTTGAACGCTCGTTTTATTTTTTTCTCATTTCATTTTTTCTTTATTGAGGAATATGTGTCTTTTAAAAATTTCTAGGGGATAAGGCCGGTAAAAAATACAAAGCAATAATGATTTATATTTATAAAAATAATTACTTTGATTTATTGTTAAATTCTACTTTTTTTGGCAGGAATGAATCCATCGCCCCCAGTAGTTTCTGAAATACCCTGAATTCCCATCGAAAATGGACCAGCCTGTACATTCATGTCAGTCTCTATATTATCTTAATGGTGAGAAATTATTAGCTGCCGTCATTGTTGGGTAATTTCAGATGAATATTAAAATGTTAAAAAATATTAATTGTAAGTATATAAGCCTCAGTAAGAAACATTTTATGCGTGTCCCTCGTGGCATAGAAGTTTGCGTATTTGACTACTAACCCAGAGGTCGACGGTTCAAATCCTGATGCAGGTCGGCTTTTTTTCAGCCAATATTTATTTCAATTATCATTTTTCTACATCAACTATCCAAAATACATATTTCGACACTAGTTGCTGGACGCGAAGTAAATAATTTCTCACAGTGTTGCCAGATATCTGCGAATTAGACGCGCTAGATTCGATTCCTTGATTAGTAGTCCAGACGGTATCTGCTTCAAAAAGTCCATATTTGGGTGAATCGTATGTATATCCACGGATATTTTTGGCTTTTTGGCTTTCAAATATCACTAGAAATGAAAATTCTATGCGCATAAAAAAACGTGGGCTTAACTTTTGGCGGCACAGTATGTTAAAAAAATTCGAAAAATATCATCTTTTTCTTCCTATTTAATTATGTATCTTTTCAAGAGTTGGTTTTAGGCGAAAATGGAAGAGAAAAAAAATGTTTGTAATAAAAATTTTTACAAAATGTGACTAGTTACAAATCGAATGAATCATGGTTATTATTGTAAAAACGAAAAAAATCGCCAAAAATGAGTTTAAAAAACATTACTTTTTAGGGAATTTTTTGGGGTCTTTAAATTGGGTATAGCACCTTCATACTTGGCTCAAGAAAACTTCATGTTATGTAGAATCATCACACCAAATTTAATCAAAATCGGTTTGATAGATTTTGCATAATAATTTTGCAATCCGGATTTTGAAAAAAAAAATGTAAATTTTCAAAATTTTGCACAGCAAAAACCAAGGCCCTTAGATACTTGAAAATTTAATCACATATAGAAAGGTCTTCAAGCTTTCAAACGCCTTTTGAAAAATTCGAATTATTGTACTTATAAACAATTAGAATAACTTTGTGAATATTCAACCAAATCAAATTTTTTAAAATAAGTTTTAAAAGTTCTTGGAATGACGCTTCTTTCAAAAACAAACAGATTGATTGATCAATTAATTATAGCCCATCAAAGTTAAATTAACTCATTACTAATTTTCGACATATTTTGAAAATAATTGTTGTTTAAACAATATTAGAATATTTAAATAAATTTGTTTTTTATCTTTGATAAACAGTATACAGGGTGGTCTCGAAGCAAAGGGCCAAAATTCATGGGTAGATTCCCGAAGCAAAAATATTGCGATTTCGGCGAACTTACCTTAGTCCAAAAGTTGATAGTTAAAGAGATACAGGGTGTTAAATATAAAATATTATTTTATTTATTTCCATTTATTTCTTAATAAATGCAAATATCTACACAAAATTTTGGGGTTTGGGGTTCTTTGGATAGAGGAATTGAAATTTGTTCACATTTTGGTAATAGTTCATAGAGGGCGCCAGCTGCCGTAGATTGAAGGTGTTGGAAACGACATAACTTTTTTGTATTTTAAGGTATCTCATCTTTGGTATCAAATTCTTATTTTCCAACTTTTTTTACACAAAAATGGTAAACTATATGAAAGTAGCTGTCTCGCACCGTTTCCGAGATATTTGGCTCTGAAACTTCCAATGCTAATAGTTGAAATAAGTAATATAATTTAGAAATGTCAAAAACAAGGGTTTATTTAGAATCAAAAATTGTAATGAACAGTAAAATAGTAAACATTAGTAAAAAATATGCCTTTTTGACAATAATTGCTCAAAATGTCCACCTTTAACTTCAATACATTTATCAACACGTTTATTAAAAGATTGTCTTATTTTAAAGTATAAATTCTTAATGCGAAATGACTTTGCAGCATTTAAAACCTGCTACTAAAGTTCTTCTCAAGTGTTTATAGTTTCTCCATAAACAACTGATTTCATGTAACTCCAAAAACGAAAACCTCGGCATTCTCTCACATTTATGTATACGAGTATACAATTTAATTTGTCAGCAATGATGTAATTTTAATTAGATACGAATAATACTTAATAGAAATTAGCATACAAATGACAGCAATAAGACAAGTGGAAGACGTCATGTAACACTTGTTTATTTTTAACGTATTGTAATAATACGAATCAACATATAATTTATTATGAAATGAAACTATCGTGGTTGCTTTGAATAAAACCTCTGCTGTATACACGGAATGCGCCAGCCAAGTATTTATGTGCCCTTGAATAATGTAATTTATGGGTATATACAAAGATGTAGCTCAGGATGCCGAAACAGAGAGGGTGTTCTTTGAGACAGTGGTGCCTGGCCAGCGCCCGAATAAGGACGATTATATCTGTGTGCTAGCTTGAATATATTTGTTTAATGATTTGTGAATTTGTGAGTAATATGCCATACTCGTTTATGTTTTTGAAAACCCCAGGGCATGCCACGTGTTCCCGGTTTTTATGGCTGTGGTTCCTTCAAAGTGTGTCTTGTAAGTTCTACGGGGTCTTGCATGCGCTTTGATTGACACATACTGGGTGGTGTTGAGTAGGTGGCATAATAATAATAGTGTGACTCACACACCCGGTAGTTGGGATGCTTACTAGTTGGCGTCCGGGGGAGCCTCGACTTATTTCAGGTGACACTAGCTAGTTGTTGAAGAAAGAATGATACACAGTTGCTAATTAATGTAATGGAAACGTGTGGAAGGATATACCTTGAATCCTAAGGTTAGGGGGAGTGTAACCCCCCGGTGAGTTACCTATTTATTTGTTTTTATTGACAGAACAGTAATTTTGTTATTTGTTTCATATATCCTCTTAATTTCTGATGAATGACCCGGCTGTTGTCGAGATAACTGCTTTGTGATGACCCATGTATAAAAGGTAACAATACCGACAATAACATCTATTTTACAGTCAATTATTTGATTTTCGCCCAAATCCTACTTAAGAAACTTTACCGCTAAATTAATAATATCTGTAATATCTTCTATATGCGATTAAATTTTCAAGTATCTAAGGGCCTTGGTTTTTGCTGTCCAAAATTTTGAAAATTTACATTTTTTTTTTCAAAATCCGGATTGCAAAATTATTATGCAAAATCTATCGAGCCGATTTTGATGAAATTTGGTGTGACGATTCTACATAACATGAAGTTTTCTTGTGCCAAGTATGAAGGTCCTATACCCAATTTAAAGACCCCAAAAAAATTCCCTTAAAAGTAATGTTTTTTAACCCCATTTTTGGCGATTTTTTCGATTTTACAATAATAATCATGATTCATTCGATTTGTAACTATCATATTTTGTAAAAAATTTAATTACAAACATTTTTTCCCTCCTCTATTTTCGCCTAAAATCAACTCTTAAAAATATTCATAAATAAATAGGAAGAAACATATGACATTTTTTGAATTTTCTTAACATATTTTGCGTCAAAAGTGAAGCCCAAGTTTTTTTTATGCGCATAGAAAAATTTTCATTTCTAGTGATATTTGAGAGCCAAAAAGCCAAAAATCTACGTGGATATACGATTCACCCAAACCCCTAGTCTACTTATGTCTCTTCACAAATGATTTCTGTAAATTCTTCGGTATCATCTGCAGTTTAAATAATTATTTTCAACCAACATCATACAAAATATTTAGAAACTACACCGCAAATGTTTTTTTTATTTCATATAAATTGAGTACCTACCGCAATCTATTAAAGTTTATCGTCTCAAAAATATATTATGATTGGCGTGATTAATATTCTCTGTTGAACCTTCTATGAAACAAGACAGCTATAACATAATTAAAGTATCATTCAATTAATTCAATATAAAAAATAAGCACAATGCCGGAGTGTGTGCAGATTTATACATATATGATAGGTAATAATATCCTATGCAGTAATGATACAACTCTAGCCGTTGTTCTTGGGTAATTTAGTATTTAATATATTTTTTATGAAGTGCACATATGAAAATTTAAATTTTTATTATATAATAAATATTCAGATATACCTAGAAAATTATGAAAAATAATTCATATGTAATTGAAAATTTTAAAAATACGTATTTGTTGGTTCATATTTCATTTCATATTTAATGTAAAGTTATGTGCGTTTCTAATTAGAAATTTTAGAACTGACCCGGTAATGTAATACAGTCCCCCCCCTCGTATCTAAAGCCTTCAAAATGGTGACCTCCTTTATTAGCAAGTTTGCGCATCTTGACGCTCATTCTCCCTGCTCCACATCTCTGAATAATACTCACCTGAACGTGAGAGAGGAGATCATTGTGCGCTTTCGACCTCAACGACTGCAACTTGGACACCCACTCTTCCCGCTGGTCGTACGCTATCGTCGCTTGTTCTATCAAATCTAGCATAAACTTTTTCCCTCTGCACAGATTGTTGATCAGCTTGTCCCAGATCTTATTGAATTCCATCCTGTAACACGCGATACAATCAACGCCTATAAATATCTGTGTGGTTTTCGCTATGGAATCTATTCGAAAGGAATTTAGCGGGAAAAATAATACGGCGCCATCTAACGGACTTTTTGTGCGCATTAATGTGAATCAATTACAAAAAGAGAGCCATCTATTAACAGTTCTCTGAACTTTAACGCAGTTCTACCTCAGAATGACAATAGATGGCTCTGGTAGTCGTATTTGGGCGTTGACTAGAATTTATAGAAAAAGACAAACTTTCATCTGTATTCTTTATGGTCTTTTCCCAAATAAGTAACCTTGAGTGTAGTTTTGGGAACGACATTTTCTCGGAAAACGTTTAACGCAGATCGAATATCGATTTGCACAAATGAAATGGCACAGACGCTGGCGGAACAAGTTGAAAGTGACTAGCCTTTCGATGAGGAGGTGGTTGATCTCCTCCCGCAGCTTGATATTCTCCGAACAGATGGCGCAGAACTTCTTCGTCTGCATCTCCAGCTTGTTCTCCAACGTTTGGAGGGTGTTCTCGCTCTTGAACACCCTCTGTTGGTAGTTGTAGTCGGTTATCTGTTCCGCCTGCAGCTCTATCACCTATTTGGGATACACAGATCGTAACGAATGATGGCATTTTGGACGTTTTGGGCTTACGCGCTTCTTGACCATCTGGATCTGGCCGTCGATCTCGTTCAGGTAGGCCTTTTGCTTTTTTATCTCCAAGTCGTACTCGTCGTACTCGCGTAGCAGGGCTCTGAGCTGTCTGAAGAGCTTTTCGTCCTTGTTCTTCCTGCCGCCCGCTGTGGCGACGTGTAGGTCGGTGAGGATATTCCTCTGCTCCCTCCTGAAGATCTCCAGCACCTTCTGCTGCTTGGCTAGCCGGCCTCCGGCGAAGGAGAACTGGGCTCGGTTCCTCTCGAGGATGGTGTACTGAAAGAAAGGTGCAGTGTAGTTTATTTTTTGGTGCGGTATAGACTTACCGTTCTTTGCAGTCTTCGTTCTTCCTGCTCTGCTTGTAGAGCTAGCTCGAACTTTTCCTCTTCGGTAAACTCTGTGGTTTTCTTCATTTTGATCGGTTCTTTTGCCCCTATTAGGTATTCGAAAAAATACTGACAGTGATGTCAGAATGACTGGTGTGACGTAGGTCAACTGTACAAAAAAGTATGTTCTTTGCAGTCTATTGAAAATAATCTTAGTGGAGTCGAGATAGCTTAAAATTACGCATTATTTCTAAATAATTATGGGAAGCATCGATTTTCCTAAAACCTTTTGAAATTACTTGGAGATAAGTATCAGAAAAAAGTTATAAACTTATTTTTTTACGCTAATTGTTTTTTAATTGTTTAAAAAACAATAACAAATAGTTTTTTTAAGAACACATTTAAAATAATTCAATAACTTTTAAATCGAATTCTTTCAAATTGACAATATAGCGGTTTTCGATGTCGCTGAACAAGAATATTAAGTCGGAAATTGAAAATTTAAAATGGCTGATCCAATATGGCTGACTATTTTAAACAATTTATTTAACAATTATCGATTTTAAATCAAACTCGCTCATATTTGTAAAATAGAGGTTCGAAAAATGAAAATTATAAGTGGCTAAAGAGGTTTTATTGAAAATATGTTTTATTTTTTAAAAAACGCAAATTTATTACAAAATAATTATTTTTTAAATCTCATCCAGTTCTTGCTCTTCTTCAAAAATAACTGGACAATTAAGGCTTAGAGCCAATAAAATTGAAAAAAAAACACTGATTTTAAATACAAAATTACAAAATCAAAATCAACGTCCCCTATTATTTATTTATTCATTTATTATTTTTAAAATGGATCAATATTCATATATAAATATTAAACTCATACATTTACAGCTTTAGCATAAAAGAAAACGAATATAAATACCTTAAATGCAATTTGAAGATTATTTGTAATATTAAGTAATAATACATTAAAGAATTACAAGTGTACGAGAGTATAACCTCAAAATGGACAAAATATGTGAATAATATAGTTTTTAACACACTGATAACTGCAGCTTACTCGAAAACATAAAAATCATATTCTTATACCATTTATAATAATTATTATTATTTAATTCGTATAAACGAAAAACGCTTTAAAAATAAATAAAACTGTAAGTAACAAAACCGTTGGATTGCTCACTCAAAACCCTGCAACTTTTGTCCTAATCATTTTTTGTTTGAGCAGTATTTTTTAAGATAGAGGGGCGTTCCAAACTATTTGAACACCCTGTATATATAAGACTCGTATCTGTGTCTACATCAATAAGAGAACTTATATTCACAATTTCAGATACAGAATATACGTTTTAAAAATGAATATTAAATCAATTAATCAAAAAACGTTAATTTGTTGCTGTTATAACAATTTTCCACTTATTACTATAAATGAAAAAATTATTTTCCGCTGGATTTACTTTTTTTAAGGTCATAACTTAATTTTGTACATTATTAAACTTTATTTAACAATAAATTTCACGGATTTTTCCTGAAATATTTTATTATTTTTTTTTGTTTTTTCAACTATTGTTTAAATTTTTTAAGAAAAATAAAATGCACCATCTGAAAGTAGAGATTTTAAGCTTTAAAAAGTGCTCTCATAAAGTTTCAATATCACGTTTACAACTACAGTTTTTGATCTATAAATTATGGCCTAAAAAGTAAAATTTGTAATTTTTTAAAATTATTGAATATGTTGGGCTCAATATTTCTCAAATTAAATTTTTAAGATTTTATCCAAATCGCTCACTGTTTGAATTGCCATTTGAAGAGTAATCTGTGAAAGTTACAGAAATTTATTTTAAAAATTAAAAGAATGACATCTATTTTATTATTATTGTACAAAATTATAGAATGACGTAGTTTTATATACGTACTACACAGGGTGATCCCGAGGTAATGGGCCAAAATTCATGGGTAGATTCCCCAAGTAAAAATATTGCGATTTAGCCGAACTTACCTTAGTCCAAAAGTTGATAGTTAAAGAGATACAGGGTATTAAATATAAAATATTATTTCAGTTTTTTTTAATTTATTCCTTAACAAATGCAAATATCCTCACAAAATTTTGGGGATTGGAGTTCGTTGAGTAGAGGAATTGAAATCTGTTCACATTTTGGTTAAAGTTCATAGAGGGCGCTAGCTGCAGTAGATTGAATGTGAACAGATTTCAATACCTCTACACAACGAACTCCAATCCCCAAAATTTTGTGAGGATATTTGCATTTGTTAAGGAATAAATTAAAAAAAACTGAAATAATATTTTACATTTAACACCCTGTATCTCTTTAACTATCAACTTTTGGACTAAGGTAAGTTCGGCTAAATCGCAATAT